ATATGTGCTGTGCCCTTTTGGTGTGCACTCGCCCAGAGCTGGGCGATAGCCATTATATATTTATTTAAATTTGCCCTCGCTTTTGGTCCAACAACCCCCACGACTGACGTCAAAATCACCCTCAACATCGTTTATCCTTCAATATTCACCTTTGCTTATCTCTCCCCTCTCATCTCACTCTACTCCCTCCCACGCACTCTCCTACCTCTCCCCTCTCATCTCATCTCACTCCACTCCCCTCCACGCACTCTCCTACCTCTCCCCTCTCATCTCACTCTACTCCCCTCCACACACTCTCCTACCTCTCCCCTCTCATCTCACTCCACTCCCCTCCACGCACTCTCCTACCTCTCCCCTCTCATCTCACTCTACTCCCCTCCACACACTCTCCTACCTCTCCCCTCTCATCTCACTCCACTCCCCTCCAAGCACTCTCCTACCTCTCCCCTCTCATCTCACTTTACTCCCCTCCACGTACTCTCCTACCTCTCCCCTCTCATCTCACTCCACTCCCCTCCACGCACTCTCCTACCTCTCCCCTCTCATCTCGCTCTACTCCCCTCCACCCACTCTCCTACCTCTCCCCTCTCATCTCACTCTACTCCCCTCCACGCACTCTCCTACCTCTCCCCTCTCATCTCGCTCTACTCCTGTCTGCACACTCTGCCACCTCCCCCCTCTCATATCACTCTACTCCCCTCCACGCATCCTCTGCAACAACCAAGGCTTTGTGTGGAATCCTCCAAGCAATCTCCACTCAGTAGGAGGTTGCCCATTATCCTCCACTAGCTCTACAGTCTGAAAGTCTCTTCCCCCAGCGATCCGTGCTATAAACTCGCTGCCTCTGTTCAAGTCCAGGCTATAGCCATTTCTCGTTATCTCTGCCTGTGACCGACCGCCTCTCCTTATAAATTAAACATTCCCACTGTGCCTGTGCAGTGTCCTAGATGCAGGTGAATTGAGACGCTATAGAAATCCTCTATTGTATTGTATACTGCTGTGATGCTGGATCAGGTCCGGTGTTACCGTCGGTGGAATGATACTCACAATCAGAATGTCACGCATCAGGGATCACTTGTAGGGAACTCAGAAGCAGCTCTCTGGTATCCTCTAACACGGAGGGTCGCAATGCTCTGTGAGAGATGCTTCGCCTCAAGTTGTGACAGCGATATTGCAAATCAGGATAAAAGTGAGGGGAAAATTACAAGTGTAATAAAGCAATGTATGAGTTAACAGCCCATCATCATCATCAGCGTTCACCCAGGGGCAATAAGATGGGTTCCACTTTTTTAGTAAGTGGATGCTTCGCGAATGTGAAATTTCCACCGCTGGCTCGGAGCCACCCATGAGCTTAACCCACGCTCACTCCCACTTTGGCTCTTCATTCCGATTGAATCTGCTCACCGCCACCATCGCTGCTTCCTGCTTTTAGCCACCATTTGGCGCGGGTCTGTCAATATTAAACAGTTTAGCGACACGGAATCCGAGGAGCCTTCTCCTCCCATCACGGCCAAACGCGCACGATTAAGCGGTACCACTCCAACGGCCGCGCGCCGAAAAGGTCACCCGTACGAGACAAATCTACAGGTGGCAACATAAAACACAAGGTCGCGACAGGGTACGCAATCCGCGATACGTCTTAATATGACAAACCACCGTAATTGGAACAACAAAACGCCAACTAACGAGATCCCACTTGACGCTGCGCGATGCCCCTTCGACCGAGTCCCCCGGAACGCGCCATCTCACGGCATCTCCGAAGCTAAGCAGCAGCTTTAAACACGTAGGCTTTCGCGACCAATACCATCCACAATACAGGGGTTTTTTTTTTGGTTAGATCGTCGTTTAACCCGCCACCACCCGACATGGCCAACCCTCACTAATTGGCTGTGTCGGGTGGTAGCGGGTTTAACGACACGTTTATATATTTAAGCAATCTCACCCAAAAAAACCTGAACGGAACAGCTTTGTACATGGTCACTGCTTGGATGGAAGGGTACCGACCGGGGCTTGCTAGGTGAAGTATGCATGCCCCTGCACGGTTGGCCAGAAGTTGGCAGTACAGCGATTGGTTTGGTCCACAAATGGTTCGACGTATTGGGTTTATCTGCGGATGGGCTCAATCTTTGCGGCGTTTTCAAAGTTATCCCCTCGCATGTGCGGGTTTTCTCCAGGTCCTCCCGTTTCCTCCCACATGCAAAAGCATGCGATACAGTTTGGATTTTTACAGCGTCTACGTGACAGCGCATTCATCGCAAGACGCTCGCATCAAACATGCCGATGCAGGGCCCCCTCTCGAAAAAGAGTCACGAGACTCGGTGAGGGTTACTTGAATAAATAAAGGGCAGCGTTATAATTATTTCGGAGCAGAAATCTGCGACTGGGGGACATCAATATCACATCGCCGCACCTTCCAACGTATGGCAACGAATAGGGGGCAGCGTTATTTCAAAAAGGTAAACAATATTGACAAACAGAATAAAGTTAAAATTTCGATTTAAAGCTTTCGTGACCGCAAAGGTTTCATCTTCTTTGGTTCTTTCGGTAAAGTCACGTAGAATGAGAATAAAATAATAAAATAAAATAACACAATAAAATTCTCACGACGTTTCGGCCACAACACAAGTAGCCTTCTTCAGGTGAAAGGAACAAACCTGTCGGGACGACAGAGCTTCAATGAACGTTGTTAAGATTCGTAGCGTCTTTTAAGCTGGTTTAGAGAAGTGAGGCACCTTGACAAAGGGGATTACATTCCAAACAGGAGAATTTAGCATTTAAGTAGCTGAGGGATTAGCTTGTGACTGGTCACAGAAATGGCTATGTTAAAGTCAAAGCCTACAAATCCACAGAGGCACCTAGTACAAATGAAACAGGAGAATTTAGCATTGAAATAGCTGAGTGATTAGCTTGTGACTGGTCACAGAAATGGCTATGTTAAAGTCAAAGCCTACACATCCACAGAGGGACCTAGTACAAATCAAACAGGAGAATTTAGCATTGAAATAACTGAGTGATTAGCTTGTGACTGGTCACAGAAATAGCTATGTTAAAGTCAAAGCCTACACATCCACATTCAATAAGCTGAGCTATTAACAGTAACTGGGCATACACTACACTATATAATGAATACCATATAGTAAACCAATAAAAACTAAAATATAAACTACCTCAATGTTATCAATAAACTCTATATATTCTCCAATCAGCTGAGCTACCAACAATAAGTCGTTATATATCACAATGCTACATGGCGAAAAAATGGGTGGATTCTTACCCTCAACTTCAGCACCACTTCAGCATCACATCGGTTTACTGTATGATAGTTGAGTTGTTGCAGCCCCTTTGGCGTCCGTGTACTAGGTGCCTCTGTGGATGTGTAGGCTTTGACTTTAATATAGCTATGTCTATAACCAGTCACAAGCTAATCCCTCAGCTATTTCAATGCTAAATTCTCCTGTTTGATTTATACTAGGTGCCTCTGTGGATGTGTAGGCTTTGACTTTAACATAGCTATTTCTATGACCAGTCACAAGCTAATCCCTCAGCTATTTCAATGCTAAATTCTCCTGTTTGGAATGTAAACCCCTTTGTCAAGGTGCCTCACTTCTCTAAACCAGCTTAAAAGACGCTACGAATCTTAACAACGTTCATTGAAGCTCTGTCGTCCCGACAGGTTTGTTCCTTTCACCTGAAGAAGGCCACTTGTGTTGTGGCCGAAACGTCGTGAGAATTTTATTGTTATTTTATTTTATTATTTCATTCTCATTCTACGTGACTTTACCGAAAGAACCAAAGAAGAATAAAGTTTCCCCAACAAAGTGCGGCGGGTTTCGATTTGTTCAAGAAGGCCAGACACGAACACATGAATTACCGCTGCCAACGCTGTTGGGTTCCGGACGCTGCCGATGTCGTTTGTACAACTTTTAATTATTGCACCTTCTGCTGCTGCTGGTGCATCAGCAACAGCGCCCCCGAGATTGCTCGAACAGCGACAGCTGCGCGGTTGGAGCTCGCGCCGAACGTCACTGGACGCCATGCACGAAGGAGACACGCAAAACTCCCATTGGTTTCGTTTCCATTTTTCGGGCAGTTAGGGTGACACGGAGGACCCGTTTCATAGTTTAACGTTGAAAACAACCACCGTACGCGACGGAGACCCTTGTCAGCTGTCGAGGAAATGTACTGCTGATGAAAACGCAAATAGATTATTTATAAATCGAGCCAATACCACTCCTCCCAGCACTGCAGGTGGTGCAGCCCAATACCTGAGCGCGGCTCTGTAGTTTAATTCGCGCGGCACCAAGCCTCCCCCCTGTGCAAACATAATATTTTTCACGGAATTTATGTTAAGAAATCCATCGCGGACACAATATTAACATTTGCAAGCCAGCGCATGGGAGCAGGGTGGCACACACGCGGACCCATTGTCACAAAGCGAGCACGGTAATTGGACTCGCCGCCGCTGTGACAAAAAAATAAAATCACCCGCGGCATCACGGAATCGTTGACCATCACCGCCCTCTCTTCCCCACGCCCCACCCTCCACGGCCTTCTCACCACCCCGCTCCACCCCAGAGTGAATAATTAGGGAACAATCGCTACAGGACACAGTAATTAGCTCGTCACTCGCCAATCATTTCGCGAGGATGCTGACAAGACTTGCCGAGGCCGTCTCGCCGCGCTTTTCTCCGCCCGCGCCTTTAATGACGCGGGAGTTCCCGCGCACAAATCCACGTACGGGATCTCACGTGCGCAATAAGCACGAGGGGGCAGAAGAACTGATTTATAAACATAAAATAAGCCACTTTATTTCCTAAGTACACGCCTGCTGTTCTTGTTTTGTCTAACGATGATTGATATTACATTTAAATAGCCTCCTGGTTTATACCCCCCCCCCACCCCCCGGGGAGCCGGGTTGCCGAGCGACGCGCGGTGTGTACCACGGGCGGCGTGTACCACGGACGGCGTGTACCACGGGCCGCGTGTACCACGGGCCGCGTGTACCACGGGCCGCGTGTACCACGGGCGGCGCGCGTCCAAGCGCACCGAGTGCCACCGGGCAAGCAAAGCCAAGCACGAGCACTTGAGAATGTGTCAATGTTGTGGATTTACTCTCCAACACACCGGTGTGCTGTACAAGTAAGGAATTAAAGTGTTTTCTGTACGTGACAAACTTTACTAATTGGCTGTGTCGGGAGGTGGCAGGTTTAATGGCACATTTATATTTACGCGATCTAACCAAAAAAAAACAAAGATCTATTATGCACTTGAAACCGTTTGTCGAGAAACGTGCGCGTTGCACGTTCCAGCGGAGGCGCAGGTTGGTAAGCATCGCAGTGTGCTCCAAACATCGCAAGCTGAAACACGAGGGGGGGGGGGGAGAGACAACAGCTGAGGGCACCGCCTCCCCCACCCCCGCCTCCGTGCATCGCAACGTAGCCGCGTACGGAGCAACGCCACCCACAGCACTCACCCCATTAGCCGAGACTGCCTCGTGTCGGAGGAGTCCTCTTAGCGAGCGCCTGTGAAGGCGGACGTGGCACATGATGTTAATTGGAGTAGGCTGCGTCCGTCATCAATTGGCTGTTTAAAAGCATTTTTGCTATTTGCAGGCAGCTATTACGGCAAATATGGTGTGTCTCTAATTGGAGTCTGGATATATTTTTCAATTACTAGTTTTTTTATGTTATCTGTTAGCGAGCGCCTATTAAGGCAAGCGTGGCACGTAACATTAATTGGAGTAGATTGTGGCTCTTCTTCTAATTGGTTCGTTATACAGGGTGCTTCAAGAAAATGTGAACACTTCAGAGAATTTGCAACAATACCGCGAAAAATGTGCCACTTCCGGACTCTGTAGACCACCTGGAGAAGATTCCCGGCACGTGTTGACAATGATGGCAAGCAAGTGGAGACTGACTTTTTGAAGATATTAACATTACATTTGTAATCATCCTACAGTATATTAGCCGTTATTTCGCCAATAAAAAAGGAAAGCCCCACGTTAGTGTTAACATTTTTTTTGAAGCACTCTGTATTCTTTTTTTTTCTCCGGGCGATATGATCTCGGAACGCACAGCTTGCAAGACGAAGGTTGCAAGTTCAAATCCCCCCACCGGGGTCAAGATCAGCTCAAGTTGTCCACCCCTTCTTGGTGGACAACTTGAGCAACACTCTACGGGGAAATCAATATCTGTTGTTCTATGGATGAACTCAGCCTGTCATAGGAACGTAGAATTTCCACCATCCCAGAACTGGTGAGTGCTTGGATGGAAGAGTACCAGCCAAGGCTATGAAGAAGACACGAGCACATCCCCATCGTTAGCAGAGCAGGAAATCAGTGACAACTCTCAATCTGTCTACAAAGACAAAGATCTCCCGTAGAGCCTTAGACTGTTGGTGAAAGTGCTGTTTGTGAGCACCTATAAAGGCCGGCATGGCGCCCGAGAGGGTGGATGGCCAGCACCACGCCTGGCCGCCTTTGTCTCCCCAGTGGCAATGTTTCCACACCACGCCAGGTACTCATTTGAGGCCGAGTCGATCTAGGGGTGCGCGTGTCAGGACTGCGTCGGTTCAGGAAGAACGGAGCCGCATGCCGCTTCACGCACGCGAGCGGCGGGCGAGCAGCGGCAAGCGGGCGAGGGGACGAGCGAGAGAGCGGGCAGCTGGGCAGGTGGCGGCCCCGCTCCATCCACTGACATCGACGATCCCCATGGACTGGCCACGGCTCCCGGCGGCGCTGGTATTTGCAAAAAAAATGCTTTAAGAAACGGGAAAGCGCTGGAGAACGACGCTAATTTGCCACAAGATCCAGAGCTAGTAATCCCATTACCGAAAGTCACGGTCTCTAGAGTGGAGAGCGAAGGATCAAGCCCCCGTGCAAACCGCCCCAACGCATCCCACCACCCCCGCCACCCCCGCCTCGCTCGCGGACGGGAGGGCGGGGCGAGCGTTCATTTGCCGAGACGCTGGGAGCGCGCGGCAGCTCGGCGCGCGCACGCCGGCAATGCGCGCCGTCCGCCACGCACGCACGGCGTCTCCCTCCTCCTCTTCCTCCTCCTCCGCTGTGCGACCACTTTTGGAGAAGAGAGAGCGCCGCTCGCGATCACGGCTGGCCGCTCGCCCGGCCCGTCGCACGCTCGGACGCTTCGCATCCTCGAGCGACAGAGGGAGAAGTGAATCAACGGCGAAGCAAAAAAAAACGTAAAAGGAACGATCGCGGAATGCGGGTTCATCCGTGCCCGGCCACCGGTGGATTCGAGGAGCGGTGGCTCCGGTGTCCCCTTGCCGGCGCCACGACGCGTTCCTGCGAGAGAGCGCGCGCGAGCGCAGCGCTGGGGGCACCGCGCTGCACGTGAACGCGCGTCGCGCGTGCAGGGAGCCGGCGGGAGGCACCGCCAACGCATCCTCAGTGCCTTCGCCGTGCCCCGCGTGACCAGAGCAACTCGAGCACAGGTAACCAGCACCGCGCGCCTGCCCCCCCCCCCCTCCCCCCCCGCTCCGCACGCTCGTCGCACGGTCGAACCGGGTCACGCTCGCCGCTCGCTTCAACAACCCTTTTCTTTTTGTTTTATTTTATTCTTCATCGTCATCAACCGTGATCGATCCACTGCTGGATGAGTACTTCCCCCATCTATTGCGTGTCTCACGGTCCTCCGATGCAATAATCCGCTTAGCACCTGCACACGAGTTGATTTCGTCGCTCCTTGGCTGCCACTCCGTCATTTTTCTACACCATCATCCCGGCCATCATCCCTTCAAGCGATGTGTCCAGCCTACCACCATTCACTTTAACAAGCATTCGGAATGATGTTTTTTTAACCATTTCTCCCAAACATCTGCTCCCTTCCTCTCTCTCTCTCAATGTAATTCCCAGCACACATCTCGTCATGCTTATTTGCCCACTTTGTTTTTTTTTTGTTCCATTTTCTTTGCCAACGTCCGTGTTTGTGATCCATCTGCCACTGGCAGAGCGCAGTGAAAAATAACGTCGACTTGGACGCTGTCGCGCGCGCGTTGCTGGGGGAACGGCACACACGGCCGCACGTGTTTACCGTAGGCAGGAGACTTACGTCTCATTTATCTCCGCAAAAGGATTGGCCACCTCACAAGAGAGTCTGCCAAGCCCTGCTGGGAGTCACGGATTAGACGCAGGTGTCCAATCCGTCGAGCGCATAGCGCAACAACGGCGTGCTCCGTCGCCTAAACGAAAGCGTCATTGCAAGAACAAACAAAAAAATCAAGCGACAGATTAATTATTAAGATTGATCAGCGCGGACGCGCGGGATCGGCGAGTTCAGCGGCGAGTTCAGCGGCGCTTGTAAACCGGCGTGCGGCGCCGTGCGTCGGAGCACGTCCGCGCGGGGTCACGCAGGTCGCGCGGGCCGCAATCCGTCTACAGCGTCCGGCGCCTGCGTCTGTTAATCTCAGTTACTGCGAGCGCGCGTCCGTCACGCGAGCGTGCGCCCATTACTACGAAGGGGGGGGCCCCGTTACTGCGAGCGTGCGCCTGCGCGGAGCTCCAACGGCGAGCGAGCACCAAATGCGGCGACGGCGCCGCGTCTCCGTGCTCCTAACTCGCCGGGTGCCCCCCCCACCCCCCCTTCAGTCGCTCCACTTGGACCGAACCCCCCGTGGGATTTTCGTGAAAACTCTTTTCGCTCCTTCCGCCAGGAAAAAGCGGCGCTCGCCGTAACCATCGCGGCGGCGGCGGCGGCGCAATAACGATTTCACGTTGAGACGCCGTCGGCTTGTCTAAAGCCAGGCGGGAATCCACCGAGACGATGAGACGATGAGCCTCTTTTTCAAGGGAGGCCTGGGGTGAATGCGCTGCCGAATAAAAATGGCATTTGGGAAAAAAAATATGCAAGTATTGTCAGGTGAGTAAATACATAACAATGGCTGCTGAGTGTCAGACAAATGTTAATTCGCGGGTGCTTGATAATTTCAACACGGTGAAAATATATAAATCGTGGCTCTAATGAGGACAGGGGGCTTTCAATGAATTGCTGCTCGTGAGATGCGCTTCAAGTACATTTGTTACTATTTGATAACTCCATTACGGACCGCCAAGCTTGTTTCCGCCCAGTGCCCGCTGATGACTGGATAATGAGGAAGGTAATGAGGCTTGGGGGGGGGGGGGGGGGGGGCGAGGAGCGCTTGGGGTGACACGATGACAGAGCGCCCGTCGGCAGACCCCAAGCGCACGCTCCACTGAGCCCGACTCCTTTGTCCGCTTTCGTTAAATCAGCGCCGAAACTCCCTCGCAGACAAGCGGAGGCTCGGCAGCCGTAGCTCGCTTCAAAGGGCTACCGGCCGTGTCACGGAGCTCAACGGAGGACGGGCTTCCCGCCACGGTGGCACGGCGCGACCGGCGCGACACGCTGCCAAAATAAATAAAAAACGGGAGCCGTTCGTCCGGAATAAACGCGCAGCCGTTGCAGCGCCGGGGAGGCTGGGGGTCGTCCGTGACCGTGGCCGACGCGACCCGCGACCTAGAGCATGAGGGATTTTGGGGGGGGTGGGGCAGCGAGGATGGGCAAAGCCCCCCGTCGACTCGAATGGTGGCGAAGGGGGGGGGGGGAAATGGGGCCCAACGTGGGAACCGAGCTCTCCACGGCGGTGCCAGGAAACCTCTCCCGCCGGACTCACGCGCGTAGGAGAAGGGCCGAAGGGTAGCGTCCGCGCCGTCACTCATTCTACTCCGTGCACTGCTCCTGCAAGCGCTCACCCCGAGCGGACGCCGCGACGATGACGGGACCGGCGTGCGCGGCCCTCCCCCCCCCCACCTCTCCGAGCGCCCCGTTACTCGCGGGCTAATCGCACGGCCACGGCCCTACGTTCGCACCCACGATGCCCACTTCGTTAGTCCAATTACCGTAAACGGCCGTCAAAGCCGCGGCCACCCAGCGGCGTGCGCGCACTCCCAGGGGTGCTGGAGGGGCTTTGACGCCAAGGTGGCCCTGGGTATGCCCGGAGGCAGCGACGAGGTCCATTACAACCTGAAGCTTCGTGGAAGACAAGGGTCTGAGAACCGGTGGGAGGAAGGGCTGAGGGAGTGGTGGCGGGTGCCACTCTTCTCTTGTTAACCATGCTCTCCCGTCTCCCTGCTCCCACGCTCTCCCATCTCCCCACCCCCATGCTGTCCCATCTCCCACGCTCTCCCATCTCCCCACTCTCTCCCATCTCCCTTCTCCCACGCTCTCCCATCTCCCCACCCCCATGCTCTCCCATCTCCCACGCTCTCCCATCTCCCCACCCCCATGCTCTCCCATCTCCCACGCTCTCCCATCTCCCCACTCCCATGCTCTCCCATCTCCCACGCTCTCCCATCTCCCCACTCCCACGCTCTCCCATCTCCCGCGCTCTCCCATCTCCCACGCTCTCCCTTCTCCCACGCTCTCCCATCTCCCTTCTCCCACACTCTCCCATCTCCCACTCTCTCCCTGCTCCCACGCTCTCCCATCTCCCCACTCCCACGCTCTCCCATCTCCCACGCTCTCCCATCTCCCACGCTCTCCCATCTCCCACGCTCTCCCATCTCCCACGCTCTCCCATCTCCCACGCTTTCCCATCTCCCCACTCCCACGCTCTCCCATCTCCCACGCTCTCCCATCTCCCACGCTCTCCCATCTCCCACGCTCTCCCATCTCCCACGCTCTCCCATCTCCCACGCTCTCCCTGCTCCCACGCTCTCCCATCTCCCCACTCCCACGCTCTCCCATCTCCCACGCTCTCCCTACTCCCACGCTCTCCCATCTCCCACGCTCTCCCATCTCCCACGCTCTCCCATCTCCCACGCTCTCCCATCTCCCATACTCTCCCTGCTCCCACGTTCTCCCATCTCCCACGCTCTCCCATCTCCCACGCTCTCCCATCTCCCAGGCTCTCCCATCTCTCACGCTCTCCCATCTCCCACGCTCTCCCATCTCCTGGCTCGAACACGGTGGTGGCTACGTGAGGGTGACTTCGTTCAGGCAGCGCGTTATCGCTCCGGCCAAATATTGACAGAAAATCAATCGTCGGTGGCCGCGGAGTCGTGGAGTTGAGCAAGCAGCGCGCGGTGGCACCGCAGCGCCACCTAGAGGGAGGCGGCGCCACTCGTGCCGCTCGCCACCTGGGGACCCTGGCCCGTTACCAGCACGGCCGCCCCGGGGACAGCCAAGTGCCGTAGGCGAGCGCCTACAAAGGCCGGCACGACGGGCAGAGGAGAGTGGAGTGGCGCGGCCGGAACCACGCCCGGCGGCCCCTTTCGGTCCTGGCGGTGACTGCGTCGCAGCAACGGGTACCTGCTTTGGGATTGAGCTGACCTAGGGGATGTACGACACCGCCATCACGCGGCTTCCGACGACGGCAGCCATGAACATTTAACAACTTGTTAATCTAATCACGTTTATTTGTTGCTGCGGGCGATGTTTGCGGCAATTCCGTTGCATGCTCCTGGCCCATTTACGAATCCTCTCCCAAGCCGCCACCGGCGCCGCCACCTCCGCCTCCTCCACCTCTTAGTGTCTAATCCCAGCCGCATCCCCGGCCCCTCCCGAGGAGGCCCCGAGCCGGATTATCTCCCGTCGATACGGGGGGATTGGCCGAGATGCGGCACGGATGTCTCGGCCTCTCAACTCCCCCAGAGGCAGGCCGGGGAGCACGGAGCACAAAAGTGGAGCTCTCGGGAGAGCGGGAGATGAGGGTGGAGGAGACGAGGGTTGACGGGATGAGGACGGATGAGATAAAGGTGAAGGAGACGTGGGATGGAGGGCAGAGTATTGGTCCGTGAGACGAGGGTTTGGGAGATGCGAGTGAACTGGTGGGCGACGTAGGTGGAGTGGATCTGGTGGTGGGAGGATGGCAGACGAGACGATGGCATAAGGGATCGGATTAGAGGAGGTGCGGGGGTGGTGGACACGAGTATGGAGATGATCTTGAACCCGAGTGTCGAGGAAAAGTGGGCACAAAGAGAAAAAGGTGGCAGAGAAGGAAGGCGTCGCATTTGACGTCTAACGTTGACCGCGTCCATTACTATTATTATCATTATTACTATTATTATCATTATTACTATTATTATCATTATTACTATTATCATTATTACTATTATTACATCTGAGCACCCTGAGCGTCGGCTCTCTCGGAGCCTCGGGAGTTTCCACCGGTGGAGCGGGAGGTGGAGCAGGAGGAGAAGTAGGAGGTGGAGCGGGAGGTGGAGCGGGAGGTGGAGCCGTTCTCTGTGCCCTTGCCAGCCTCACGCGTTCCCCACCCCCCTCGGGCTGCTCGCGACGGCTGTGACCAACGCCGCTAATCAAACAAAGGCAGAAATCCATGTAAATCACACAAAGCATGCCACCTGCACCCACCTTGAAATGAAATGAAAGGACCGTGACAGATGAAAGCTGCGCCGGCCCCCCACCCCCCTACCCCCCTACCCCCCTACCCCCCTAACCCAACATCCCCTCCCCCCC